TACTTAAAAAACAGAACAAATTAAAACTCTGTTCTTTTATAACTCCATCCATATCTCTTTCAGTTATTGATGTCACAAAATTATATCTTTATATATTTTGTGCCCCAAAACATAAAGTAACATTTTTTTTACATTTTTCACATATTTGTCTTTTTTATGTAGATGTAATTGACATTATGTTAGTTTTAGGTGTATAGCATAATCATTCAATATATGTGTACATTGTAAAATGATGACCACAACAAGTCTGAGTTAACATCCATCACTATACATACCTACAAACATTTTTTTCCTATGATGAGAACTTTTAAGATATTCTATTAGCAACTTTCAACTTTCAAATATACAATATATACAATGCAGTATTATTAACTATAGTCATTATGCTGTACATTACATCCCCAGGACATTTATTTTATAACTGGAAGTTTGTACCTTTAGACAGCTTTCACCCACTTTGCTCATCCCTCACCACCTCTGACAATCATCAGTTTGTTCTCTGTATCTATGACTTTAGTTTTTTGTTTTGTTTCTTGAATATTTATTTTAGATTCCACATATACATGAAATTTTTTGTGGTATTTGTCTTTCTCTGACTTATTTTATTTGGCATAGTGCCTTCAAGGTCATCCATGTTGTTACATAATGCAGGATTTACTTCCTTTTTAAGGCTGAATAATATTCCTATGTCTGTGTATGCCATATCTTTTTTTTTTCTTTCAGTTAGCCAACATATAGTAGTACATCATTAGTTTTTGATGTAGTGTCAAGCGATTCATCAGTTTCATATAACACCCAGTGCTGATCACAGCACGTGCCCTCTTAATACCCACAACCCGGCCACTGCATCTCCCCACCCCCCTCTTCTCTGCAATTCTCAATTTGTTTCCCAGAGTTCAGAATTTCTCATGGTTTGTCTCCCTCTCTGATTTCTTCCCGTTCAGTTTTCCCTCCCTTCCCCTGTGGTCTTCCATGATATTCCTTATGTTCCACATATGGGGGAAACCATATAATAATTACCTTTCTCTGCTTGACTTATTTCACTTAGCTTAATCCCCTTCAGTCCCATCCATGTCGATGCAAATGGTGGGTATTCATCCTTTCTGATGACACAGTAATATTCCATTGTATATATGAACCACATCTTCTTCATCCATTCATCCTTGATGGACATTTAGGTCTTTAATCCATTTTGAGTTTGTTTTTGTGTATGCTATAAGAAAGTGGTCCAGGTTAATTCTTTTTTATGTAGCTGTCCAGTTTTCTTAACACCATTTGTTGAAGAGACTGTCTTTTTTCCACTGGATATTCTTTATAGCTGGGTCAAAGATTAATTGACCATATAATCGGGGGTTAATTTCTGGGTTTTCTATTCTGACCCATTGATCTATGTGTCTATTTTTTGTGCCAGTACCATATACTCTTTTGATTACTACAACTATGTAATATATCCTGGAGTCTGGAATTGCTTTTCTTTTCTTTTTTAAGGTTGCTTTGGCTATTTGGAGTCATTTGTGATTCCATACAAATTTTAGGATTTTTTGTTCTAGTTCTGTGAAAAATGTTGTTGATATTTTCATAGGTATTGCATTAAATGGGTAGATTGCTTTGGGTATTATTGACATTTTAACAATATTCTTCCAGTCCATGAACATGGAATATCATTCCTTTCCTTGTGTCATTTTCAATTCCTTTTATCAATGTTTATAGTTTCAGACTACAGGTCATTCACCTCTTTGGTTAGGTTTATTTCTAGGTATCTCATTATTTTGGGTGTACTTATAAATGGGATTGTTTTCTTAGTTTCTCTTTCTGTTGCTTCATTATTGGTGTATAGAAATGCAACAGATCTCTGTGCATTAATGTGTCCTGTGACTTCACTGAATTTGTTTGTCAGTCCTAGCTGGGTTTGTTTGTTTGTTTTTTGTTTTGTTTTTTTTTTTTGTTTTGTTTTTTTTTTTTTTTTGGCAGAGTCTTTAGATTTTCTTTATATAGTATCATGTTATCTACAAATAGTGAAAGTTTTACTTTTTCCTTCCAATTTGGATGCCTTTAATTTCTTTTAGCTGTCTGATGATGTGACTAGGACTTCTAGTACTATATTGAATAAAAGTGGTGAAAGTGGAAGTCCTTGTCTTATTTCTGACTTTAGGGGAAAGGCTCTCAGTTTTACCCCATTGAAGATGATGTTTGCTGTGGGTTTTTCAGAAGTCTTTTTTTTTTTTTAAATGTAATCTTCTCCCCCAACTTGGGCTTTAATGCATGACCCCAAGATCAAGAGTCACACACTTCTCTGACTGAGTCATCCAGGCACCCCAGTCAAAAGTGCTGTGGGTCTTTTATATACAGACTTTATTTTGTTGCATTATGTTTTTTCTAAATCTACTTTTTTGAGGGTTTTTATCATGAATGGATGTTTTACTTTGTCTAATGCTTTTCTGAGTCTATTGAAATGAGTATATAGTTCTTATCCTTTCTTATATTAATGTGATGTATCAAGTTGATTGATTTGTGAATATTGAACCACCCTTGAAACCCAGGAATAATCCCACTAGATCATGGAGAATTGTTTTTTTTAATGTATTGTTGGGTTTGGTTTGCTAGTACTTTGTTGAGAATTTTTGCAACTATGTTCATGAGAGATATTGGCCTGTAGTTTTTTTTGTTTTTGTTTTTGTTTTTTTTTTTGTGGTGTCTTTATTTGGCCTAGATATCAGAGTTATGCTGGCCTCATAGAATGAATTTGGAAGTTTTCCTTCCTTTTCTATTTTTTGGAATAGTTTGAGAAGATAGCTATTAACTCTTCTTAAATATTTGGTAGAATTTGCCTTTGAAGCTGTGTGGTCCTGAACTTCTGTTTGTTGGGAGTTTTTTGATTACTGATTCACTTTCTTTTCTGGTAATCAGTCAGTTCAAAGTTTTATTTCTTCCTGCTTCAGTTTTGGTAGGTTGTGTGTTTCTAGGAATTTATCCATTTTTTTCTAGGTTGTCCAACTTGTTGGCATATAATTTTTCATAATCTCTAACAATTATTTGTATTTCTGTGGTGTCAGTTGTTATTTCTCCTCTTTCATTTGTGATTTTGTGAGTTCTCTACCCTCCACACCCCGCATTTGGATGGGTCTGTATAGAGTTTTATCAATTTTGTTGATCTTTTCAAAAAACTAGCTCCTTGTTTCATTGATCTATTTTATTGTTTTTGGTGGGTTTTTGTTTTTGTTTGTTTTTCGCTTTTACATCATTTAAATCTCCTCTAATCTTTATTATTTCCTTTCTTCTGATGGTTTTAAGGTTTTGTTTTTTGTTCTTTTTGTAGTGCCTTTAGGTGTAAGGTTAGGTTGTTTATTTCAGATTTTCTTGCTTATTGAGGTAAGTCTGTATTGCTATAAACTTCCCTCTTAGAATCACTTTTGTTGCATCCTACAGGTTTTGAGCAATAGTGTTTTAATATACTTTTTTCTTTCTTTTATTTCCTGGTTGACTCAATGACAGTTCTGATATCCAGTCTGGCAAATGTGGGGAATCTCCTGACTAGGTTTCAAGCCCTGGAAATACTCCTCCATGGCTTTCAACTTCACACTCTTGTTTTTTTGATTCTGCTGTCTGAGTCATCCACCATTTTTAATGAAAGGCAGCATATATTTGAAGCTTACATGATATTTACATTATAGGAGTTTTATGGTTTCAAGTCTTACATTCAAATATTTAATGCATTTTAAGTTGATTTTGTGTATGGTGTGAGGTAATGGTTCAGTTTCATTCTTTTGCACATAGCTGTTCAGTTTTTCCATCATTTATTGAAGAGACTGTCCTTTCCCCCATTTTATATTCTTGACTCCTTTGCTATGGATTAATTGACCATAAAAGTGTGGGTTTTATTTCCAGACTTAACACACAGGGAAGGCCATGTGAAGATGGAGCAGAGAGAACTTTAAGATGCTGGCCTTGATTGAAAGTTGAAGTGATACCGTTATAGCCAAGGAATGCTACCAGTTAGTGTGGCCCTGCTTATAACTTAATTTCTACCACATGATACTGATTGTACTCTGCTGGACTCCAGAACTGTGAAAGAATAAATTTCTGCTGTCTCAAGCAGCACTACATGATAATTTGTTATAGCAGCCACAGGAAACTAATATAGATGGGTATTAACACCTCAGTGTTGGTTTTTAAATGTATTTTCACTGATTATTCAATCAGTTGAGTATCTTTGCATCATAAGATTATTGATGTGCACCTGTTTTCTTCTATGAGTTTTTCAACTCCTGCCCTTTCTTTTTTTTTTTTTTAATTTACTTCCTTATTGAGTAGTAGGAATTCTTTGCATAGTCTTACCATTAATGTCCATGTTACTGAAGAGATACTCATGTCTGTAGCTTATGCTTCTACCTTATTTATGGTGTCTTCTGCATTCAGAAGATCTTTTGCACATTTTATTTTCCATTAGGAAGTTTTTAAACATACCCAAAAGAGAGAATAGTATATAGTATAATAAATCTTCTATATACCCATAACTCCGCTTCAACAGTAATCAGTATTTTTTTTTCTGGAAGTATTCATATTTTTCGTTAACTTTTATACTTTTTGTGCACTAAGAAGTCCTTCAGTAAAGATTGTGTTGCTTTTGTTTCTGCAGCTATTTCTGTCACGATAAAACATTCATTCTTTTTGTTATAACACTTGTTTTTAATCACTTTTGCATTTTAATCACTACACTTATGTGTAGCAATTTGTAATATATACAAAGCATCACGGCACCCATGTTAATCTATACCTTCTTCCTGAACATATACTTTCTTATTCAGCACAAGCTATTGATGCAGATCTTGTCCCAGAAACATCCTACATGTCACTGTAGAGCTTGTTAAAAATTGCATGTGTCCTTATAAGAAGGTTGATCAATCATATAGGAGATGTCAAAATAGATGCCTGAGTCAGCTGTGCTATCATATTTTGTTTTTACAAAATAATTCCTCTCATTTTTTCCTCCTTACTTCTAGTGTGCCACCTGGGCTTGAAGGCATGAAAGAACAAGACATCTGCAACAAGATAATGGCTAAATTACTAGAAAATTATAATACTCTGTTTGAAGTAGAGTATACAGAAAATGATAACCAGAGATGTGAAAACCTGGCTAGGCTTATCATAGTAAAGGTAAGTAACTTTGGCATATAATCTTCAGTATTGCTTATATTTTGAATGAAAGATATTTTATTTAAATTATTCTTTATCATAAAAATGTCATGGACATATTTTAGATTATTATTCCTGTGTTTGTTGAATTCTGTTGTGAAATATGTCCTCTGTATCAAGTATTTAACTGATCTATATTCCCCTAAAGTTGAAAGATAATTGCAAATTGATGTTTCCTTGCTGCTCTAAAATCATCTCAAAATCACTTATGTGAGCCCACCACTCACTGATTTTTATAGAAGTCTGGTGTTACAGCAAGGATTCGTGCTTATGGCTGTGTTCAGGAGTGCTAGCTTACTGAGTAGAATGCAAATTCCTGAAGATAATATTAGTGTGTCTTTTTGTTGCTCTTGTGTCTAGCACACTTTCAAGTTCAACCTCAGATTTTAAGTCCCACATATATAATCCCTGGCAACTATCATCGGTAAAGGAGAATATTTTTATAAGCTGTAAAGGAATCCCTGACAGTACTTACCTCCACCTTTTTATACATTGGCTGATCATTTATAACCTATCCTTTACACATTAGGGAAATACATGTATGTCTCTAAAGAGAGTCTGAGGATAAACCAAATCAAATCCTCCAGGGAACGCTTCTTACTTCTTTCTCATTTATATTTGAGACAAATCATGATGGAGTGGATATGGGAGGTTCCCTTAGGGGAAGTTTCCTGAAACACGTGTTCACAGACTGCATTATACCAGTTGATTCATTTGGCAATGAATGATAAAGCCCAAGCACTTGTTTTGATCATTGAAGGGGTATTTTCATCTCTTCTTTCAGTTGAGACCATGACTTTGAAGAAGAAATAAAAGGTAAAGAGTATCAAGTAGCACCCTTCCAAAAAAGCAAAAGAAGACCAAAAACTAGGTTTTCTTAACCAGGGCTTATGTTGTTAATACAACAGACTCCCCATAATGAGTATAATACATTTGCAAGGAAAGCATTTACCTGGAATCTTCCCAAACTGATAAAGAGAACTCTAAACTAAAATTTGAGGGAAGGGAAGAATAATGCACAGTTAAAATGACAAAATGAGATAAAAGTATAACCTAAGTTGGAGGCAACACAATGGCTGAGAGAATGTGTCAGTGATTCATAAGAGAAAATATGGGGAAAGAATACACCAGTTTTGCTACCAAAAAATTAAATAAATTCTTTTAAATAGAAAAAAAAATCTTTAATTTGTTCCTCTAGTTCCTGTAGTACTACTTTCCAAAGGTCTCTTTTTAAAATATTAAAAAGTAATTAACTTTGTTTCAGCTGTATCTCTGATACACGTTTTTTAACACTTGTACTTTTTAACTAGAGCTGATAAGATAATAAGGTAAGCCTAAAATATAATGAAAATAGAAAAATAAGACCTAGGCAAGACAAACTTGCTGAGATGCAGGTATTAACTGGAATGTGCCAAGAGAAGGTTCTATGTTGTGCAAATAAAATGATACCTGTTGAAATACACGGAAGGAATCCCTGCTTAGAAATCATTGAGCTACTAGGTTTAAGTCTGGTGGAGAACTTATCATGAGAGTAGATAGGTAAGACATACATAGATAAGACATACGAAGAGTCAAATACTGGTATCTTAGCTAGGTGAAAAATAAGACTGCTACTCTCTTAATGCAGGTTTCAGATCTGGCCTAGAGGCAGATAAAGGTCGTGGTTGGAAACTACATTTCTATACTGTGGAAGAATCATTATGCTAAAGCAAAATAGTTGGTCCATTCTTTACTGATCTTCATCATAGTCTCATCTCAGAGGGTAGATTATGCTACAAGGGAGTATGATGTTCTGGACCCTAGTTTCAGCCGGTAAGGATGAAATGGAGGTTACAAAAATTATTTTAATGGAATATACCAGTGCCATTTTAGGGTCTATAAAAATAACATGCTGATCACAGTTAGGTATGTAAAGTTGGATATTGTTTAGAAAGCAGATTTTTTTTAATTCCTAAAATCATAGAAATATTAGATACAAACCGAAAGGAAGCTGGGTTAAAAAGGAAATGGGAGGCTTAAAATGAAATCATTAACATACTGAAAGATTGGAAAAATGGAAGGAAACTGAAAAAACCTGAAAAACATGTTCTGATCATGCTCACGAGCTCAGCTTTTGAAGGGATGTGTACAAAAAGAAAAAACTGGCACAAAACAAAGGATGAATATACATGAATGACAGACATATAAAATGGGCTGAGAATAAGCTTAGGCTCATGGAAACTACTATATATCTACTATATATCTAACTACTTTATCTCAGTATAGAAAAGGGCTTTTAAGGGGAAGAAGTACTAAATGTATCCACTGACACACCTCTGTGCACCCCAGTATGGGCAACAGAGTCATAAAGGATTGCATAAGCTCCTCACAATATCCTAGTGGAGATTTGGAGCTCAGATAATGTAAGTTTAGTTGCCTTTGGACCAGGATGAGAGACTTTGAGTGTGGATTGGTGTTAACTTCGGGGCAGGTCTCTACATTTTTTTGTGTTATTTTCAGTATTTTAATCATTGACTTAAATGAGTGTATACTTGGTACATTTGCAAGTGAAATAAAGTGAGAAAAATAGATCAGATTTTGGATGGCTGGATATGTAGATCAATAAGATGACGTGTGTGTGTGTGTGTGTGTGTGTGTGTATACACACAGCCATTTCTCTCTTATCTCTTGCTTCAAACAAACGAAAGCATTTTATTTGGGCTTGCAGCAAAGTGCTGAGGTCAGAGGGGTCCCTCCCACAGCTGCAAGGAATAGATGAGTCACAAGGGTCTAGACTGCCATCCTTCTTGGGTAGTAATTGATTTAAAGGAAGATCGAGACAGTTCCACAAGGAAATGTAAGGCAAAGTATGCAGCGAGCAGAGGACCTCTGGGAAAGATTCTCATCCCTGATTAAAAAGAATGATTTAGGTTAAAACCAGAGCTGTGGTTTGCCTCTGGGTATAGTTGACTCTGATGGTTGTGACTGACTAGGAAAATGCCTAAGGGAACTCTCTGGGCGTAATGAAAATGTTCTTTATCTCAGTAGGGATATGGGTTATACGGGTGTATGCATTTGTCAAAACTCATGCAACTTTATACTTAAGATTTATCCATTTAACTTAATGTAAATTATTTTTAAATTTTTAATTACAAAGTAAGAAAGGTAGCAGGCCTTTGAGAAAGATGCCCATCTCTTCCATCCTGCTCTCAGATGTTATCACCTGAAGGTATGATGCTTGGAGCTGCTGACACCATCTCTGCCCTTGATGAATGTATCACTGACACACTGAAGTTGGCAGTTAATGAGGAGAAAGGGTGGGTTCCTCATCATTGCTGATGTGCTGAACCAACCCAGGACACACAAACCTCTGGACTTCGAGTTACGTGAGGGAAATAAAGATCCTCAGAGTATAAACTAGTTTTAGTGGAGTGTTCTGTTTCTTGCACCAAGAGCATTATATCTGATACAATCAGTATAATTGGAAAGTGCTATACTTAGGTTTATAAAATGATTTGCGCAAAGATAGCCCAGAGGAGATAATAGTTAAATTGAAAATCATCCACCGATTTCTCTTTTCTTTTTATCCACAGATTTTAGTTACTTTCTAGCACATTACAAGATGTCAGCATAATGTAATTGCCCCAAAATACCAAAAATATATTCGTAGAGTACACCAGTAGTATGCAGAATAAAGAATGTAGGTCTCCCTGCTCTTGGTATAGGTCAGGCAGTATATGCAGCATTATCTCTGATACGGAGTACTACATTCTGACTCTTATGACAATCACCACTGTTGCGCATTTATTCTCACTAAATACATATTTTCCTGGGGGACCATCTTTTACTTTAGTTACCGTACATACTGCTGATGACTTTGAAATCATAACTTCAGCCCTGGCTTGTCAGATGAACAGTAGAACTGTATTTCCCACTACCTGTAAAATGCCACACTGGTGCCTCAAATTTCTCACACTGAAAACATCATCCCCAAAACTTGTGTTCTGTCTTCTATAACCCTAATTTGCCAGTCCCCAGCCTGCCAGATTAGAATCCTTGGTTTAGCCTTGACTCCTCCTCCCTCACCATTCCCACAGGGACTCAGATTCTGTCTTCTGTCTCTTGGATTAGGTGTCCTTTGCCTACCCATTACCTCTGATTAGGACCTTATCACAGTCACACATTTCCCCATGGTTCTCCCCCTTCTAGACACACTCCCCTCCCATCTCCTTTCTACCCGTGTGATAAGAGTTCTGTGCCTAAAAAACAAGCTTGATCATAACCTGTTTCTGCCTTAAGTAAATAAACCTTTTTCTGTCATTGTTCTATCTCCTACTATTGTTGGCAGTATGTAATTAGGATGCCTTTACTTGAAATTCAGGCCTTCCCATGTCCCCAAACAAAACTTTCTCTATTAACTATGTGAATGAATATTGAATGGTTCTTGTCATCTTCCTATTCTCTGACCTTTCTTCAGTCTCCTTTGAGGACTCTTCATTCTCAGTCAGAATTAAATATTATTACTTCCTAGGGTCATTCTTAGGTCTTCAGTGCAGAGCTCTGCCTGGCAAACCATACATACATATCTAACTGCCTACTGATCTCTAGCACCTGCTTGTCTCGTGGCCTGTGATGAGCAAGTCTTATCATCTTTCTTGTCCTTGAAGATCTAATGCTTCACTTGTCTTAATGAATGGCTCATCCATCTACACAATTGCTCCAGGTTGGTGTCCAACAGTCACTAAAACCTGTTAATTCTGTGGCTTAAGTATCTCTTCAATCTTTCCCCACCCTCCACTACTACTTCCTCAAAGCCTCTCATCCAGGCAAGAGATTTGTGCTCTTGGCTCATTATCACAGTCACCTGGTGACTCAGACCGAGAGTCAGAAACTCATCATATGGCCCCCAAACCTGCATTTTAAAAGGCTTCCTTGGTAATATTAATAATCGGCCAGATTTGTGGATTGATTAATCCTTGTAA